GTTAGGAAAAAACTGGGAAATTCTGTCAAATACCCCTCACTATGGGAATTTTTGGAAATGGGGTGACGTGAAGGGACCGGAAATCGATGTCTGACGCCATTTTGAATTCAATATGGCGGCTTCCGATGCGAGAAAAACTGGGATTATTGCCAAATTACCCAAACTATGAGTATTTTTGGAATCTTGGTGACGTGTAGGGTTCGGAAATAGATGTCTGAGGCCATTTTGAAATCCAAGATGGTGGCTTCCGGTTCGAAAAAAACTTGGAAATTCTGTCAAATACCCCTCAATATGGGTATTTTTAGAATTGGGGTGACGTGTAGCGACCGGAAATCGACGTCTGATGCCATTTTGAATTCAATCTGGTGGCTTCCAATAGAAGACAAACTTGGAAACACTGTCAAATACACCACAAAATGAATATTTTTGGAATCGGCTGACATATAGGGTCCAGAAATCCATGTCTGATGCTATTTTGAAATTCAATATGGTGGCTTCCGGTTACAGAAAAATAGAATAAATACACGTCACTCCAATTCCAAAAATACCCATATTGGACAGAATTTCCAAGTTTTTTGCTAACGGAAAGCTACCATATTGAATTCAAAATGTCGTCAACCATGCATTTCCGGTCTCTACACATCACCACGATTGCAAAAATACCCATATTGAGGGGTATTTCATAGTATTTTTCAATTTTTCTGTAACTGGAAGCCACCATCTTGAATTTAAAAAAGGCATTAGTTTCCGGTCCCTAGACGTCACCAAGATTCCTAAAATACTCATAATGTGGTGTATTTGACAATATCCCAGTTTTATTTAAACGGAAGCCGTTATCTTGGATATCAAAATGGCGCCAGGCATGGATTTCTGGTCGTCACCCCGATTCCAAAAATACCCCTAGATAAGGGGTATTTGACAGAATTTTCAATTTTTTCTCTAACTGGAAGCCGCCATCTTTAATTTTAAAATGGCCGCAGACATCGATTTTAGGTCCTTACACGTCAATCCGACTCTAAAAATACAAATATTGTGAGGTATTTGAGAGAATTTACAAGTTTTTCTCTTGTCGTAAGCAGCCATCTGAAATTTCAAAACGGCCTCAGACATCGATGTCCGGTCCCTACACGTCATCAAGACTCCAAAAATACCCATAATGTGGATAATTTGGCAGTAGTTCCCAGCTTTTCTCTAACCGAAAGCCGCCATATTGAATTCAAAATGGTATCAGACACTTCACTAAGATTCCAAAAATACACACATTGAGAGGAATTTGACTTAATTTTCAAGTTTTTCTCCAACCGGAAGCCACTATGTTTAATTTCACAATGGCCGCAGACATCGATTTCCGGCCCTTACACGTAACCCCAACTCCAAAAATGCCCATATGGTGCGATATTTGAGAAAATTTCTAAGTTTTTCTCTAACCGGAAGCCACCATCTTGAATTCAAAATGACTTCAGACATCGATTTACGGTCCCTAAACGTCATCAAGACTCCAAAAGTACTCATATTGAGAGGTATTTCACAGAATTTCCAAGTTTTTCTCGCACCGGAAGCCGCCATATTGAATTTCAAAATGGCTTCAGACATCGATTCAGGGTCCGTACACAGCACCCCGTCTCCAAAAATACCAATATGGTGAGGTATTTTGCAGTATTTCCAAGTTTTTCTCTAACCGGAAGCCACCATCTTAAATTTCAAAACGGCCTCGTACGTCGATGTCCGGTCCCTCCAAAAATACCAATATTGTGGGGTGTTTGACCGAATTTCCAAGTTTTTCTTTAACCAGAAGCCGCCATCTTGAATGTCAAAATGCCGTCAGACATCGATATCCGGTACAGACATGGTTTTCCGGTCCCTACACGTCACCCGGATTCCAAAAATACCCATATTGAGGGGTACTTGACCGAATTTCCAAGTTTTTCTTTAACCAGAAGCCGCCATCTTGAATGTCAAAATGCCGTCAGACATCGATTTCCGGTCCTCAAACGTCACCCTGACTCCAAAAATACCCATATTGAGGAGTATTTGACAGAATTTACAAGTTTTTCTCGCACCGGAAGCAGCCATATTGAATTTCAAAAAGGCTTTAGACATCGATTTCCAGTCCCTACACGTCACCAAGATTCCAAAAATACCCATGTTGTTGGTAATTTTGCAGTACTTCCCAGCTTTTCTCTAACCGGAAGCCGCCATATTGAAATAAAAATAACGTCAGGCATTGATTTCTGGTCCCCGTACGTCACCCAGATACCAAAAAATACCCATTTTGTTCGGTATTCGACAAAATTTTCCAAAAACTTTTTAGGAAATAAATCGCAAATAATGTTTTTTTACGTCTGTTTCGATTTACGAACCGCCGGTGTGGTTCGTATATGGAGGAATACACTGGAACCTGGAACCTCATTTAAAAATCACGATTGGAAAAAAAATCTTTGTCCGCAATCGAAAACAACAAACAGCCTAAACTGAAAGGGCCTAGCACAGGCCGAACATTTTCAATACATTTAAATGATGGTTTTATGCATGATTTCGAACATGTGAACGCGGATTATGTTTAAGAAAATAATAAAATATTTTAATCTACCTTGTTTGACATGAAATACGACTCGAAACGCATGTTCATAGTAAAAAATAAAAACCTGCGATTAAACTGATAAATGAACCTACAAAAACTGCGTAGGCCCTTTTCAAAAAACAAAGCAAACTGACATTTCGGCGAATGAACACCGAGTCACTTTGCAACTCACCTAAGAATGAACCTCTCACCTCACCCGAGTCGACTGTCGGAATAGAGTGAGAAGAGTCATGTGACTGCGAGGTGACAATTGTCGTCTCACCTGATTCGCCACGCAGAATAACCCTGATAGTCTACAGAACCCCCATAAAACCAAAATTGTTACTTGGGTTTAGCAAATACTGTCTGCTAGATGTTCACCATGAATAGCTCAATTCATTCAATAATAAATGGGATCGTGGTGCTGCAGTGAAACGATTTTACCAAATCAATTGTATACAGTTATTTAAAAAAAATCTTTAAAGGAATCCTGCACTAAATACAGTGTAGGATTGCATTAATTTACCCAATTTATCAAAACGAAAACAAATGGATGAAATATTATTGATAATTCAGCAAAGGTGCAAAACAAAAATATTGCTGAACAACCAGCAAAGTGCTGTCGAAAAACATATACTTCAGCTTCTGCAAGAAATAACAGATTTACTGAAGATTCAGTAAAAGGATTTCATTTTGACAGAAGTTTGAGTTGCTGAAAGTTTCAGCATCTTAATTTTGCTGGATAGTTTGCTGATATTGTATCAAGTCCAAAATCAGCAAAATTTTGCTGATTTTCAGCGATTTAAATTGGGTGTGTAGGAACCTACTCAAGCAAGGTAACAATAAAAAGCTATATTGCAACTATGATTACTTATGGCCATCAGAATGGTTCATCGGTTCCGAAGTGAAGTATTTCTGAAAGTGATATTTCTTAATGGTTTGATTTTATCCTAACGTTACCTCAATATTATATAACAGACATGTCTCTTTGTAAAACATCGTTGCTAAAACACTATCGCCATCTCGTATTTAGTGTGATGGGCAATACACTCAACAGGTGGCTGTAGTGTGTAAACGTCAAATGCAAGGGAATTGATTATGCGCCCCACAGGTTGCGGTACTACCAACTATGAAACTTTAAAATTGACCGCTACAAGCAATTGCGATGAGCATTTTAAAAGTGTTATGTCTGCTTGCCTGTGCTCATATATTCACTATCGCAACTTCTGGTAATCAGCAAAAGTACTTGCATTTTCTTCAGGCACTTTTGGTCTAACTGCAATCACACTCTCATACTCGAAATGTGCCACGACCAAATTGGAACAGCGATGTCCTACACGAAACAAAAATCAATTATTTTATCCATGTGTTTCACTTATACATTTTTGCCAAAGCATCAGCCTTATACATTCCATAAGACAAACCACATAGGTCCTATAAGAATGCATAAAAGGTATGTGTGACCGCTTATACATTTCATTTGATACATGATCTTCATTAACTTTTTGCAAGGCGTCTGCTTATTACTTGACTTATACATTTTATGAATAATCAGCAATAGAAATTCGCCAAAAGGTATAAGGAGATTTCTATCCGTGTATATACCTACCCTATATCCTATACCCTCTGACCAGAGAGCTATTTTGCTCAAGAAACACATGTTTTTGATTTCATCGTAGGAAATTTATCCCCCATGACACGCTTCAACTTTCCCTATTTCCCTTGCACCAACGCAAGAGTGCAATCCAGGATCAGGAATATCGTAAACTCGCACGTATTGACCGTTGCCACCCGCACTCCAGGTATTAATTCAACCTACCTGGCGACACTGCTCGTGACTGTAATATACTCAGTTTGCAGTGAATTTGATTTAACGTGTAGAAAATCCTACCCCTCTTATCATCAATGCTAGCTGTCAAGTTTCGATAAGAATTGTCTAAGAAGAAAACAAAGAAGAAGATACTTTTTGTGTACGAGGTTTTCTGATACCATATTTATATTTCTTCTGTTGCTACTGTTGACCGGACTAGTTGTGTCTTTTTATTAAAAAGAAGGATATTACAGTGACTATGATTTTGTTTACAAACAAATCATAAACCTTGACAAGGCAAGCAGAAAAGTAGACATCTCATCACATCGTAGGTATATTAATTAACAAATTCAAGATCAACAATTGAACTGGCCTTAACTCAATTTTGTAAACAAACCTTGTAAGGCCATTTTCTCACGAACCGAAGTCCACCAACGGAATCCAACAAAACGAACAGGTAGGGGAAATTCTCCTCTACCCGATTGTGTTTAAGGTTTGCGAATGTAGGTTTCACTTCGCGAGAAAATGGCCTTCCAAGGTTTGTTTCCAAAATGTAGTTGAGACCTTTTCAATTGTTGGTCTTGAATTGTAGGTTTTCATGTTTACAATGAAGCACCTTTTCAGCGATTAGATTAACAATCAAGAAAAATGAATCTCATATCCGACGGGTGCCGTCTGTGTTTGGATCCTTTTGCGGAGAGTTTCACCACTATCGACAGCCCGGAGCTGAAGGACCAGATGGAAAAAGTTTTCTGCTTTTTGGTAAGTGTTTCCTGAAGGATTGTCCGCTTATAAGATATCCTGAAAAATTGAGACTATTTCCCAAGTACCGTAAAACGGGGTAAACTTAATCATTGAGGTGAAGCTGATCACTACACCGTTCAATTTTCGGTTCTCAACAATCCTTATTTATGATATTTTTAGAATTTGTATTTTTAAGTAATTCATATGTAAATGTTCAATTTTGTGGAAGTGCAACTTTTAACTATCTATCTAACAGTATCAGCATTTTTTTCTGGTGGTTCGGCGAAATTACTTTTTTTTTTTTTTTTTTAACTCTTTATTTGTTCCAAATTCAAAATAAATTACATTTCATTTTAACCTAGGTGCTCCAGTTACTGCAGTAACGTACCAGCCTTAATTGTTATGATATATATCTAAGTGTTTTTACATTGTTCATGTCTTGGCAATTCAGTATTTTAAACAGGTTTTTTAACCTGCATGTCAGTATAACAATTGATATCTTAAAACTAAAAACTAAAACTAAATCTTATCTAAGTATAAAGGGAATTAATCGTTGCAATTGAGGATTGCAACGATTTTTGCCTGAAATTATTAATTATTTTGTTGGACATTCTGAATCCTTTGAAGTGCTTTTTTCCTGGTAGTGCAGCAACTAGACCATATTGGCACAGCGTAAAGCATGGCCGGTCTAAAAACTTGTTTAAATATTAGAAGTTTATTCGTCAGGCAAAGTTTGGATTTCCTGTTTATAAGAGGATACAAACATTTTATATATTTGTTACATTTGGCTTGAATGCCCTCAATGTGATCTTTAAAATTTAATTTTTGGTCAAGTATTAATCCAAGATATTTCACTTGGTTTGACCAGGAAATTGGAACTCCGTTCATAGTGACTATGTGACTACTACTAGGTTTCAAAAACGAAGCTCTAGGCTTATGTGGAAATATTATAAGTTGAGTTTTGGAAGCGTTGGGAGAAATCTTCCATTTTTGTAAATAAGAAGAGAAAATATCTAAACTTTTCTGAAGTCTGCTGCAAATAACACGAAGACTTCTTCCTTTAGCGGAAATGCCTGTGTCATCAGCGAACAAAGATTTGTGGCAACCCTGAGGCAAATCAGGGAGGTCCGAAGTGAAAATGTTATACAATATAGGCCCAAGAATGCTACCCTGAGGAACTCCTGCCCTAACAGGTAGTCGATTAGATTTGGAATTTTGATAATTTACTTGAAGAGTTCTGTCAGTTAAATAATTTTGAACTAATTTCATAATATAAAGTGGAAAATTAAACTTTTTCAATTTAGCAATCAAACCTTCATGCCAAACACTGTCGAATGCTTTTTCTATGTCTAGAAGAGCAACTCCAGTTGAGTGGCCTTCAGATTTGTTTGAACGAATTAAATTGTTAACTCTTAAGAGTTGATGAGTAGTTGAATGCCCATGGCGAAATCCAAACTGCTCATCTGCAAAAATTGAGTTCGTATTGATGTGAAGCATCATTCTATTCAAAATTATCTTTTCAAAAAGTTTACTTATTGAAGAAAGCAAACTTATTGGACGGTAGCTAGAAGCTTCAGCTGGATTTTTATCCGGCTTAAAAATTGGAACAACTTTTGCATTTTTCCATTTATCAGGAAAGTATGCCAAATGGAAACATCTGTTAAATAATTTTACCAAGAAAGACAAGGTACTCTCTGGGAGTTTTTTGATGAGGATATAGAAAATTCCATCATCACCTGGAGCTTTCATATTTTGAAAATTTTTAGTTATAGACCTTACTTCGTCCAAATCAGTCCCCCAGGAATCATCAAAAATATTTTCCCGAGAGAAAATATTCAGAAAATCTCGAGCAACCTGATTCTCAATAGGACTAGTAAGACCCAAACTGAAATTATGGGAACTCTCGAATTGCTTAGCAAGTTTCTGAGCTTTTTCCAAATTTGTGATCAAAATTTTACCACCTTCTTTAAGCGCTGGAATAGGCTTTTGAGGTTTCTTCAAAATTTTTGTGAGTTTCCAAAAGGGTTTGGAACTCGGGTCTAATTTAGAAATATTATTTTCAAAAGTTTTGTTCCTCAGGGCAGAGAATCGCTTTTTAATTTGTTTTTGCAAATCCCGCCAGATAACTTTCATGGCAGGATCGCGTGTTCTTTGATATTGTCTCCTACGGACATTTTTAAGACGGATCAAGAGCTGAAGATCATCGTCTATTATAATTGAATCGAATTTAACCTCGCATTTTGGTACTGAGGCAGCTCTTGCTTCAACTATAGAAGTAGTCAGAGATTCAAGAGCATAATTAATTTCATCTTTGGTTTGCAAAGGAATGTTTGGATCGAAGTTATATTCCATAAATGTTCGATACTGCTCCCAATCAGCTCTATGGTAATTGAAAGTAGAGCTGTTGGGATTACAAATTATTTCTTGGGATATTTCAAAAGTTACTGGAAGGTGATCAGAACCGAAGTCAGCATGGGTAACCAATTGGCTACAAAGTTGACATGAATCAGTTAAGACCAAATCAATAGTGGAGGGATTTCTTGCAGAAGAAAAGCATGTTGGGCTGTTTGGATATTGAATAGTGTAATAACCTGCAGAACAATCATCAAACAGAATATTACCATTGGAATTGCTTTGAGCATTATTCCATGAGCGGTGTTTTGCATTAAAATCACCAATAATGAAGAATTTAGACCTATGACGGGTAAGTTTCTGGAGGTCACCCTTGAGAAAATTCTTTTGCTGGCCTACGCATTGGAATGGCAAATAGGCAGCTATAAACGTAAGTTGTCCAAATTTTGTTTCAACAGAAACCCCCAAAGTTTCAAAAACTTTGGTTTCAAATGAAGAAAGAATTTTATGTTTGATTCGTCTATGAATAATGATGGCAACGCCACCACAGGGTCCATCAAGACGATCATTTCTATAAATCAAGTAATTTGCGTCCTTCTTAACCTTATGGGCAGGTTTAAGGAACGTTTCAGTTATAACGGCAATATGCACGTTATGAACTCTTAAAAAGTTAAATAGCTCGTCTTCATTATCTTTAAGAGATCGAGCATTCCAATTTACAATATTTAATGCTTTAAAATCCATTACTGAATTTTAAAGTCATGACAATATTATTTGCAAATTTTACTCCAGTTTGAATAGCATCAAACATGGAGTTAGATTTAAGCATATCAGAAATCATGTCAATTAATGAATTCTGTAAAAATTCCATTTTGGGGGCAGTAATGCTTCCTAAGTCAAAATTGTCAAAATTTCCATTAGAACGTTGGTTAGTATTTTGATTTCTACCCGCTGCAATAGCAGCATAGGTAGCTCCATTAACTCGCTGAACATTGTTAGCAGCAAGGGGAGTAGGTACAGATGAAACATTTGAAGCAGGGGAGATATTTGTACCTACGGGTACGAATGTAGAATTTGTTCCTCGCTGACCGTTGTTAACAGCAGAGAAATTTGTACCTGGTCGGAAACGTGGAGCGTTTCCTACCTGACGGTTAGAACGAGATTGTAGGATCGCTTTGCGAGTCTTACATTCCCAAAAATTGGATTTGTGGTTTTCACCACAATTTGAACATTTAAATTTCTTAGGATCTTCCTTCACAGGACAGTCGTCCTTTGCGTGAGAGGAATCACCACAATTCATGCATTTAGCTGGCATGTAGCAATTTTTAGTTCCGTGACCCCATCCCTGGCACTTACGGCACTGAGTGAGGTTTTGAAAATTTCCTCCAGTCTTCCTGAAGTGTTCCCACTTCACTCGGACATGGAGCATAAGGCTAGCTTTTTCTAAGGCCTTAAGGTTGTTTAGTTCACTAGACTTGAAGTGAACTAAATAAAAATCATTAGAAATCCCGTTGCGCGAATCGCCAGGACGGGATTTCATTTTCATTTTGATTACTTGGAGTGGCACAACTCCAAGTAATTTTGCCAGTTCATCTTTGATCTGATCCAGGGATTCACCACTGGGCAGTCCTTTCATGACAACCTTGAACACACGTTCAGTTTTGGTGTCGTAAGTAAAAAATTTGTGCTTCTTCTCAGTAAGATACTTGAGAAGACATTTAAATCCGTCCAAGGTTTCAGCCAATACACGGCATTCACCCCGACGTCCAATTTGTAGTGAAAACTTAACTTTCACGAAATTCAAAAGTTCCATGCGAAGAGCATGGAAATCGGTAGTGGTTATCACAATAGGGGGAATCTTTTCCTTCTTGGCATTAAGCCGGGAAAGTTTACTAGAATTTTTCTTGGATGATGGATCATTCTCATCATCCGTGAGCAAATCAAATTGATTACTCAAATTAATTTCATCAGAAGGGGGGTCAAGAGTTTGCCCCTTTCTTTTGCGTTTAGGCGCCATGGCGGCAGTAAATTTTTATCCAAATCGACTTCCAAGCAGATTACTATAAGAATCTGAAGGATCGAAGAGGAATTTTCCAAATCGATATCCAAGAAGGATTACCTCGGGTAGGGTCCAAACAAGGATCGAAGAGGAATAAGAGTTGAACAAGGTAGAAAATTTTTTACAGGTTGAGCACTGAAAAGTGCTGTTTAAATTTGTTGTAGCTTTAGGTAGTAGTAACACTTCCTTCAGCAAAAAGCAAATAGATCCGCACGGCAAGAGAGCACGATGCGGACTTGGCGAAATTACTTATTTTCCTTAAGTAGTCACTGAATTCGAATCTGAAATCAGATGTCGTTCATATGAACGATTTCGTATAATAAAAATGATTTTATATGTAAAATTGATGTTAATTGCCTACATTTAGGCGTATTTTCAGGGAATCAAGAAAATCATATCTTCCGATGCTTACTGACGATAAAAACACTATTAACCGAATGATAATCAGTGTACATCTGAGATCATATATTATCATTTGTGTTACACATCATGATCAGCAACAAAAACGATAATCCACTGATATGAAAATCACTGTGTTATTATCTCGAAAACTAGCAACTTACTGTCTTCGGCAAAGTTGATCTGGGGGGTCAAATACCCTACAGATTGGATATTTTTTGGAACCGGGATGACGTGTAGATGTCGAAAATCGATGTCCGCCGCCATAATGGAATCCATCCATTGGTTTCAGAAAATACAACTGTCAAATACCCACACACACCCTATTCTATTTCGTGAGATTTCGCAGTGCCGATCAAGCGCTGCGCCAAACGTGTTGAAGTTGACCGAAGTGTACCAATCAAGGTGTCAATGACCCATCTGATCGGCTCAGAAGCACATGACCTCGAAGGCATCACCCAAGGCCTATCGTGTCGCTGATTATGATGTCTCTTGCCACCACCCAATTACACACGTTCAAGGCTACCAAGTTCACGGTCTTATGTAGTTGTGGTGTCTTCTACAATGTACCACCGATGAAAACCATCAAATATCCCCCCCACTTCAGATCAATCATACTTCGGGAATGGGTTGTGATCCAGATAAGCTTCGCATTTGTAGTTCTGCTGCAGGCAGGATCCTGTGGTTGTTGTTGATCATCAGCATGCCCCCATGGGCTCTTGCCGAACAAATTGCAAGTTGCTTAGTGTCGTCATGCGAGAACCGTTGACCCCACCGACGATTCCCTCTACCGGCAATCAAATTTTAGAGATTGAGCAAAGCCTTACTGGTCTTACAAGAACTGATTGGTAGGCCACCCATTGCAACGGGGCCTCGTGATACAAACTAGTTCAACACAAGGATGATTATAGAGATGCATCTGCAAAATGACCGGACTCACGGCATGGAATGTAATTGCATTGATCTGTTCATAATTCCTATACTATTACGTTAAAGCAACCGTACATAAGTCCAGATCTGATGGAATATTTGAGGTTATGTATCGACATTCCCCAGCTGTACAGGCAGTACAGAGACTATGGACATCTTTATAAAATCCTGTGGATTGCCCATCGAAGTCCATACTCAAGAATATATGAGGAACAACGTAGGGGAAATCAAGAAAATTTCCATCCCGGAAGACCCTTTGGCAAGACCGTTTGTGTCCTAAGCGTGCCGAATCGTGTGCCATGTTGTATTCGGGCACAGTGTGCAGAGTTGATTACCCCTTGCAAATACCCTACAAAATAGGTATTTTGGAACCTGGATGACGTGTAGATGTCGAAAATCTATGTCCACAGCTATTTGGAATCCAGGATGGCGTCCATTGTTTTAAGACAAAACCCAAGTAAACGAATCACAATGGCGGCGGACATCGATTTTCGACATCTACATGTCATCCGGTTCCAAAAATATCCATATTGTAAGGTACAGTTTTCATAAACCAATGGTTGTCATCTTGGATTACAAAATGGTGGCAGACATCAAAAATACCCACATTGCCATTTACTAGTACAGATTTCAGAGGTATTTGTTGGTATGCCAAAGATATGATTGGAAAAATATTCAGGTTTATCCGGTAAACAGTGATCAACTACCCGTTTTACGACAACCAACAAGCCCTCTAATGGCCCTTTCTGCAATATAAAGCTGGTTGTCATGGCCATGTTTTTAAAATTCAAAAGATCGTACAAATGGCCTATCTTCCAAAAGGTTCAAACGAAGCGAGGACGAGGTTTTGAGTAGCCAGGTCCAGTTCTGATGCTACTGATTTCAAGAATTCAATCAAATTTCCCTTTCTACCTCCAGATTGAACCCAAACAAGGATACTGCTCCGGTGTGTGTCAGAGCTGTTCATATGCCATCTCCGAGTTCTACCAGTATTCGGAAAAAGTACGCCAAAATCAAGAACTCCTGAACGGAAATAAAACAAAACTCGATCCGACTGTGGACTCGAAGATCGTACTGGAAAGCGTCAAAGTCGAAACGCTCAGTGAATCTGGGCTTCCGGCAACACCCGAAGAGGCTTGCGAACCGAAAGGAGAAGTAGAAGTTTCATGCTCCGGTGATGACGAATCGTACGAACCTCCGCCAAAAAAGGCACAAACCAAACGAAAAGGCCGTCCCAGAAAAGAAAACTCGACGATGTGGAAGCAGACGAATCTACGCACAACTCCAAACAAACCACTATGAAAACGCAACAAGATCGAAACGAAGAAGATCAGCTCTTCAACAAACACTTCCGCATGATCTGCGACCTGTGTGGAACATCAGCAGCAACCTTCACAATACTCCGTAGTCATTTCTGGAAGGAACACAAACGACGTGACGGTTACGTAGTTTGCTGCAACAAGAAGCTGTCCAAACGGTACACCATCCTGGATCATATCGATTTTCACGCCAACCCGGATGTGTTCCGGTGCGAGGTGTGCGGGAAAAAGTACAAGAACAAGGACACCCTGAATGCACACACGCTCTGCCGGCACTCGAGCGAAGATCAGCGTCCATTCAAGTGCGACCTTTGTCCGCAGTCCTTCGCTCAGAAGTCTGCTCTCGCTCTGCACATGGAGCGGCATGTGAAAGTTAAGTGCCCTCAGTGTAAAAAAATGTTCGCCTGTAATAGCACCTTAAGTATTCACATGACCAACCAGCATAGCGGCAAGGATCGGACAATGGTTTGCGACACCTGCGGTCAGGAATTTCTGAGCAAGCAATGCTTCGATCGGCACATGAACGAGCACATGGGAATCGAGGTACAGCGGTTTCAGTGCGGAATCTGCCAGCGTTGGTTGAAGGGTGAACGGAATTTTCGAAATCACATGAACTGGGTACACACCGACGGTGACCGGGAGTTCCAGTGCGATATATGTCTGCAGAAATATCCACATTCCCGTGCGCTGCAGTGCCATAAACTGCAGACGCATGCAGAGCCCAAACACGAGTGCGAATTTTGCGGCAAGAAGTTCAAGAAGGCAATTGCATTAAAGGAGCACCGCACCACCCATACGGGTGAAGTTTTGTATGCCTGTGAGCATTGTGGAATACCGAATAACTGTAAGGCGAACTTGTACCAGCACATCAAACGGCAACATCCGACGGAGTGGGCGCAGAAGAAACTAAAGGCAACTCAAAAGAGCGGTTCCTCTTGAAGGTATGTTTGTAGGTCACGAGTTCAAATGTGTTAAGGTAACTATGAATAGCAGGAGTTAGTTCTCTTTTCGACCATTTGAAGATTGCCTTGTTCTTAGCGAAAATTGTCAACGATCATACCACGTTTGAAACACAGTTCCAGGGAATTGGGGATGTTTCGGCACAAACAAAAATATCTTTACTGGTTTTTCTACTAACCTTGTACTTCAAGCAACCTTTCCTTTTTTAACACAGCACTTCACACCGTTGCACTGTCGTTGGCTGATGACCCATTGCCTTCGGCGGCTTTCACTTTCGAATCCGCCCATTCAACTGGATGTGCCTTCTTCATATGGGCGTAGTAGCTCGCGTTCGAATTCATCGAAACCGGACACACCTTACAGGTGTACAGGGTCTCTCCCGTATGGGTAGCACGATGTTCCTGAAAAAAAACTCAAAGCTTTTACCAAACATCCTTCTGAACAGCCATTCAAAAACCTACCTTCAACGCCAGCGGCTTTTTGAACCTCTTGCCGCAAAACTCGCACTCGTACTTCTGCTCGCCGTGTACGAACCGCTTGTGCCGGGTCAGTGCCCTTGAGTGGAGATAGTTCTGGTTGCAAATATCGCAGATGTGTGGTTTGCCAACCTCGCTGTGCAGCTGCACGTGTATCGTCAGAGCACGCTTCCCGAGCAGCCACTTGTAGCAAATCGGGCACTGATGCTTCGTTTTGTCGCCGAGACCCATGTGCACCTTGTCGATGTGCTGCCGGAGGTTACTCGGGGCGCTCGGGCCCGAAAATCCCTTTCCACACCGGTCGCAAACCTTCGTACGATCCACATTATCATGCGCGCCCTTCATGTGAGCTTTCAGCGAGATGGAATTGGCAAACACTTGACCGCACTGCGGGCATGGCATCTTCTCGTGGTGCCTCTTGTGCGTTTGTAGCAAGGATTCTTTGGCAAAGAACCGATTGCACTGATCACACTGGAATGGCCGCTGTTCGTCACTTCCGTGTACATTGGCCTGATGTTCTCTGAGATACCGTTTGCTTTTGAATGTCTTATCGCAAACCTCACAGCGGAATGCGGTCGGGTTCGTATGGACCGTTATGTGGTCAATCATGGCCCACTTTCGGGATAGCTTCTTCTTGCAACACTTAATGTAGATGCCTTGTCCGTGAGTCCCGCGGAAGTGACTCCTCAACGAGTTCAAGTCCTGCGCCGCATGTCCGCACAAATCGCATGTCATTTCGTAGAAGTCCTGTATAATAATGTCCTGTTGTTGCAGTTCCTCCCTGGATTTTAAAGCAATGTTCTTCTTATTCTTCCTTTCCTTGAGCTTAGGAATGATCTTCTTTTTCTTCTTCCGCTTGGGTTGCACTGTCTCATCTTCCTGTTGGGATCCTCTGGTTCGCTTGGCTAGCGGTTCGCTTTTCACCTCTATCGATACTAGCGGTTCGGCAAAGATTTCCCCATCGGAAGCATCGGAGGTTTCCCGTTTGAAATCTTCCAGTTCATCGGATGACGACGATTCAGTCTTGATTTTGATGTGGGCGATCGGCACCGGTCGGAGCCGACTGGCGAGCGTTTCCTGATTGCTGCGAACCTTTTCCGAATACTTATGGAATTCTGAGACGATCGACAAACAGTTGCCGCAAACTTCGGACGAATGTCCTGGTAAGGGCTCGATCTGGAAAGAATTGATAGTCATGATCACTGCATTTCGTGGGAAGAATCTGGACTCACAAACCGCAGACTAACATTGCGTATTGCACGAAGGCGATCCTTCCTAATGGGGTGCTTACATCTGTGCGGATTTACTCGCACTAGTGTACTAGCTAACTAGCACGAATTTCAGTTGCTCCTGAAATTTCATGCTGGTTGACGCTGATGCCCTGTTTACATTATGCTAGTGAGTTTTTTTTGCTAGCAGCTAGCCCATTAGCGCTAGTGAAATAGCATAAGTGTAAACACCCCATAAAAGAAGAAGTCAACGTACCTAAATCCAGATTTTAGCAAAACAAAGGTGCGTGTCAGCGGAGAATCCTCAGCCAGTAGATTGATCCAAAAAAAAATATGGAAAACTGTTTACACAGATTGCTAAACGCACAGAGAACAGACGTTGAGACTCGAACTAAATTTCTGTAAAAACTTGTGTAAAGATTCCTATTCGACTTCAGGAGATGATAGCGCCACGTAACGGCGACGTTCCCACTTATCTTTACACAAGTTTCTGGTGGAAGTTGGACGTCTGTTCTCTGTGCTAAAAGGGTATTCTCTAGCAGCAAGAGGTAGAAACGAACCTCTGCTACGACTTGGCGATGCAACCTGTCGTTTTTATCTAAATTTAAGCTGCGTGTAGTTCTTCCGAAAACGCTTAACATTGTCTTTTTAATAAACAAAATACTAAAATCTCATTTGTATTTACAATTTTGAAGTACTGAGTCTCTCGGTATTTTGTGACAACAATCAATAACAAAACAACTGTAATGTGAACCGAGCGTTCAGTTTAGGTTATCGAGCTGTTTGTAATCAGTTGACAAATGACGAGAAACATTATATAACAGGAAGGATCAACATTTCACCGAGATGACTGCTGACCGCTCAGCTGTTATAATCTCGATAGTGTAATTATCGACGTCGGTAATCTGAATTGAGTGTGTATAAAACCAACATATAGGGGAAATGGCTGTAATGTTGGCCTATGGATCTAAGATTGGGCCCATCGCTAAAAATCTACTATTTATCAATTTTATCTAGATGAACGTGTCATTGGGACGGTACTAATGGATATTTTTGGTTGCTATTGAAAATTTAGTCGATTGCTTAATTTATGTATGGGCCCAAATTATGTAGGAGCATTTAGGCCGACATTATATCCATTCCCCCTATCATAAGCTAGAGGTTCAAAAAGGCTCTGATAATCACAATGCAACCTGAATTTCCAGATCCAAGTTTGGAGTTTGAATATAAAAAAAACATACTTAACAGCATGAGGGCATAATACCCCGTACAGACTATGGCTTATATCATGTAACATAGGCCATCTTGCAAAGAGTACTCAATTTGTTCCGAACGGCCGAAAGTATAAGCTGGTGCACGGGATGCCTCATGTTCACTATGCCCCTCTTACACCTACGTATGCTTAATGGGGTTTGCAATGTGCGTGGGCCTTAAGTATTTGTTTAAGCATTTTCAGCAGTGTTGAGACCATTATAGCATTTTCCAGGTTATCATCAAGTGGTGAAGTAGGCTGTTTCTAATTGGCTGCTGATCTGGTAAAACAACAATGCCAGGATGCAATTACACGATTATAAATCGCCAAAACCGAATTTCCAACAATGCTGAAATCACAAGAGCACTTAGTTAGTGCAAGTTTGAATTTTGATCAACTACCTCGTTTGGCATGATCGCGTCAATGAGAAGCAATTTGCAGCGACTTGCCACTGAAAATTCAACTTTATCCGAAAGTAGTTGATTCGAAGCGCAGGGAGACAACCATCAAGCAAGCTCTATCACAGGCCGGACCATTTCATATTCATCACCGTCAAGCAATTGGGATCACTTGTTTCACGTCACCATGGCTATTTGGATTAAAGCAATGCAATTTCCCCGATCTGATGGTAGTGTTAGCATGCGTGGGTGAGCAACCCAAGCTACCAGTTACGCCAAACCGACGATCAAATGCATTGTTTACTAAAGCAGATACGTCCCTTCGAAAAAAGTAATCGAGTAATAATTTAATCTATAATACCCTGCGAGTAGAACCTATTATCAGGTGAAGTAAAATAGAAGAAAACCTAGGTTCGGAAGCATTAAGCTACTTACTATACACTTACCACAAAATGGAAAACCTGGCTCAGTTGCTCCTTCAGGTCCGACTTTTCAATCGAACGCTTGGTTTCGGTGAGCTCTCCCAAACACAACCGACATTCCTCCACCGATGGGCTCTCCATTTCTGTTCGGTCCGTAGATTTTGCTTTTCCGTTTCTGTGAATTAAGGGAGCTCGGTGATTCGGAATCTAATGTAGGTAGGTACATATATCAAGTAATTTTACAGCACCTTAAGATTGACAGAAACCTTACAATTTTTTTTTATCAGTGAAATTTTGCTCTGGAACGAACAGATTTATTTTGATTACAAACAGAAGGACCAGAAACCTTCAACCAGAATTTTCGCGTAACTTTTCGAAAGGACCAATGTAACATATCCGCCAAGGGGCAAGCCAACTGTACTAAGAGTTGGCAGTGAGTAAAGTTGAGTTACTCACATTTACTCAAAAATGAACAAAGTAGTCTACATTTTTTGACGTAGGACTACGTCTTTGATTTCTATATGGGGGTACACTTTGTGAAAACCGAAAATGGAACATGTAACAAATTAAGAAAGATTTTGAGCGTTAATAACTCAGCTGCCCCTGGTCCAATTTCAATAATTTTATCACCAATCGATCAGAAATATGGCTACGCATCGATAACAATGCTTCCGAATGTTGATTTTCAACAAGAAACTATTGAAAAACTTGTAAATGTCCTGCATTGTCCAAAAACGTCGAATTAACTAACAAATCCACCAATTACCTACATGCATATGCTGCTTCCCCAGCACAGTCGTCAGAGAGTAGTAAGTAGTCGAAACAATTCGAAGTGGCATTCGTCTCCGATCCTCGGGCGCGTGCGAATAGGGAGGATGGAATTGCGTAATATTTTGCACACTCATCGCCACATTCAGAACCAAACGCAAATTCTTCGAGATAACTATCATCCGTCGTCTGGCTCGCCGTGGCGGTGTCTGACGTATCTCCGGTCTGATTTACGAAGTGTGCTGAAGGTGTTCCTGAAAAATGAGATCCGTGATGCTGTCACCTACACTAAACACGCCAAGCGTAAGCGGCCATGGATGTCATCTACGTTTTGAAGTGACAGAGACGCACTCTGTTTGGTTTCGGAGGTTAAATCATCACCAACTTTGGCAACAAAACGGCTCTTTTCAGGGCCACCAAGCTTATTACAGTAAACAGTACGAATAGAATTAATCTGCATGTTTGTCCATATTCAGAACCAACGACCACATAAAATGCTCATGTAATCAAACTGGAAGCAGGTGTACACATTATTTTGATCAACCTTGATCAACAACCATTGGCAAACCAACGCAAAATTAAAGGAACCAGTGTCGCTACTTGATAGCAAACTACTCATGATGGGAGGAGTCTTTGTAGCTTTTATACCACTTGGTTGCACATCATTCTGCTCTAACCTGAAAAGATATAAAGCAGCGCTGCTGTCTGGTATCAGCTCATTTTCACTTCGGACGGCGTGGTCAGCAATAGCAGCAGTAGGAAGGTGGTGGCTAGTCCACTCTTCTATAACCCAACAAGTAACAATTCAGTGCCAACATTTCAAAGGGGCGTAATTGCTTTTGTAAACAATGACTTTAGCCGTCAATTTCTCGCGAATGAAATCTTACCTCTCCAAAATAACAATGCTAGCTGGTAGAGGAAACATTCCTCTACCTGCTGGTGTCATTATTTTTCATGAGTGAGCTTTTATTCGCGAGAAATCGACGGCTAAAGTCATTGTTTACAAATAAAATTACGCCCCTTTGAAATGTTGGCACTGAATTGACTGGTCGTGGCAAAGGAGGTGCCAATCGTCATCGCAAATTCTTCGAGATAACCACCATCCGTCGTCTGGCTCGCCGTGGCGGTGTCTGACGTATCTTCGATCTGATTTACGAGGTGTGCTGAAAGTGTTCCTGAAAAATGAGATCCGTGATGCTGTCACCTACAACAGGGCCATCAAGCTTACATCAGTAAAGAGTTGGAATAGAATTTATCTGTGCTTGTTTGTCCATATTCAGAACCACAAGCCCCCAACGACCACACAAAATGCTCTCCAGAGTTGTAATCTTGTAACCAAACTTGGAAGCAGGGGTGCAAGTGATTTTGATTGATTCTCTCAATCAACTTTCTCTTTGAAAAAAAATACTACAAATTTGGTACGCCTACAATTCAAAAACGGAAAGAGTTGAGATAATAGATAATTGATCAATTAAAAGAACTAAATGCTCTTCACATTTATTTCGTCCACTAGCGGTCCTACGTCAAGCTTCCGTTCGTGCCCCTAGGCACAGACCCTTCTACTTTTTTTTTCATTCATTGAAAGATGCAAGTTAGATGACTCTTGTGCGGGCCTGGGGATGCTTAGGCCTCTTTTGCTTTCTAGAGATCGATGGCTAAAGTGTAATGTCTGAAGTTTTTGGTGTTGTGGTGGTGTAAGTGTTACCATTTTTTCCAGTTTTTTTTTAACTTGCCCTGAATGAATCTTCCACCTTCTACCGAGGGGAGCGACTCTATCTAAGATGCAGGAATTTTTGGCTTTGCTGTTGTGAGATGCTCGCACGCTTAAGGCAGGAAGGCAGCTCCCACACCTGGACCCTACATATCGACACACGAGTTTAAAAAATAAAATACCTCCAATTTTTTGCATATTATTCAGAATAACATACTCCCTTTCAAATGCCGTAAAAAAAAACTTTTTGTTTTGCCCCAACCAGAGATATGAACATTTGAAAAGTGCATATTTTTAGTAGAAAAACGTCAATAACCTGGGGGTAAGACAGCTTTCGATCATGAGTAAAATCGGAGTTAATTTTGAGTAACTCTGAGTAACTCGCGTTGCTCAATATCTTATACACATAGCAACCTGATTGTTATATTGAAAACAATGTTGATACCGATACAAAGTAAATTGATGTGCTATCCAGTTTTCAATTATGAACCTTGGTGTAAGTATCAATTAAAAAGGGAAACTTATAATCTATAATCTTTCATAAATATAATTTTCGACTGTATGGGTGTTGTATGCAAGCCAGTTTGTAGAAGCAGAATGTGTGTAACAGTTGGTATGGAATTTGAACTATATCCTGGGTGGTAGAATCTAAAAAAGTGGCAGCAAACTCCCAATCCATGAAGTGGGAGGAGAAGAGGAATGGCGTAGATGTCCTGAAAACCCTAGATAAGCCGCCATTGCCTCATACTTGTTCTGATGTTCTGCCTAACAACGATTCAGCAGCATGAAACTCTGCGAATTGTGAGTCGGCGCACTGAAAACTGTAGGAGTTTCGCGCACTCAAGCTTTGAAATTAATTAAAACCCGGAGCGGATCAACTTAATCACAATATTGTCCAAACATTCCTCAATACACGTAAGAGTGAGGGCCAGGGGGTTACCCCGACGTAGAGGTAAGAGGACCGTACACTGCACATCTTGTTCACGAAGTACCTTGGACTACCAAGTAATAAGCCGACCCTGAGACCCAGCTCGAGGAGTTTTGTGCTACTGCACTTGCCGGTACAAACGAATAGTTACACGTTATTGAAACTTTGGAACCTAGTAGTACTTGTCACGATATACCTCAATATTAATCTTGAATTTCTTCATGTCTGAAACTAGTTCAACAAGATGAGAGAGATCTTTTACAGACTGTGCGAGATAAACTATTTATGTTCACAGGGCTGAAATTTCTTGAATCTCTGGTTGAGTACCAACATGTATAGTCCTAAAATAACACCACCACATCATCAAACATCTTCAACGACAACACTTTTGTGAGGTACATGAATATGGGACTTACTATTCACATATTTATTTTCCTTACTAATGACAGTGTTTGTGTCACTGTGATACAATGTTGATACGACTAATGTTGAATATTGGCATCACGACACATCGGATGTGGCTACGAGAGCTCGTACTCGTTCTCTTTCATTCAGCACACCTCGAAATGCCGTCGACAAAGCTTCCAGAATTCTAGGGTTTATCTTCAGGATTGCCAAAGACTTCCAGGAAAGGTAAGTCCTATTTTGTAAGCCAATCATATTTCTATGTCGAGTGATTTGCCAGTAATAATGCGCAATGGCTGCATATATATATTCACGTGGTTCTTTGAATATTTACAACTTTAAGCAATAAATCCCTGGTCTGCCTTGGATTTTTTAATGCTTGAAAACTGTGTTTATATTGAAAACCAATTATGCTGTCAGACGATATTTTCTTTGATCAGAAAATCGAGACTACTTTGATAATTTTTGAGTTAATGAGAGTAGCTCAAATTTACTCGCTGCAAATATATTTACTCTGAGTACAGCTGTCTTGCCCCTAGTCAATAACTCTTGATCGGCGAAAGATATTGACAAGCTTTGTGGAGCAAAAGCGCCTTCTAAAGATCTAAAAGTTATTTGAAGACACCTTTGCTGAGAAATTTGAAATAAGAAAACTAGAGAAAAACAACTGTTTTTTAGAGCCACCCTTACTCAATTCAAGAAAATAGCTCTAAATCGGTCAATCTAAGAGATACAAAAAACAAAATTGCTTTTAATTAGCTCAGCTATAACTTTGCCGAAGAATGTATACCTTAATTTATTCAAACAAAGTTAGATTTTTGATTTCAATGATAATAAGAAGCACCCTAGAATTGATTGTCATAAAAATGAGGGCCTAACTATAAGGAACAACTTTGTAGAAGAGACTTTTAGTCTAAAGCTTCAATTTCAAGGTTCAAAACATATCATTCCACCTAAATCTGCATTCTGGACCGCTGTGCAATGTTAGAAGAGTTTAAATCTAAAGAACTAAGAAAAAAAAATTACGTCTATCCGGTAGCTTTTGAGGTTTCTTCCCCCGTAGCAGCTTTTAAAAAATGACTAATATTTTTTTTGACGTAGGACTACGTCCTAGGGAAAGGCCAGCTCCAAGTATAAGCATCAATACCGATTATGGAAATATTAAATATCTTAATATTTGTGATATTTGTGAATGTCATACTTAGTCTGACAGTTGTTTTTTTTTTGTTTTTGACTATTTTTGGTTTTAAGTGTACATTTGACATTCGTTTAACGAAAAATGGATTTCACACGAGAGGCAAGTTATTCCCTTCACTATTATTCTAATATTTTTTTTTAAATTTGAATATTTGGTTCTTTGATTGTCACTGGCCTGGGGTGGGATGACTGTAGCCTGTCTTTTACCAACACGAAATTAAAAAAAAACATCGACGCGCCTAAGCCTCCGTGCATCCTCGGTGGAAAACAACACTTCAGTGCCAACATTTCAAAGGGGCGTAATTGCATTTGTAAACAATGG